TAAATTACAAATTAATAAAATATAAAAAATTTAAAACAATATACCTATAACTATAAATTAAAAAATTAGAAAAAATTGAAATTTTGCCTTTGAGGTATCGCCCAGACCTAAAAGCTAAAAAACCAAAAAACTTATTTCTAAAAAATTATAAGATTTATATACTAATAAATTAAAAATCAAATTTAAAAAAACTTAAAAATAAAAAAATTGATACTGTGTTCCGGGGCATCGCCCGGGTTTAAGAGCTAGTAATTTTCTATAATTTGCCCACGTAACAAAAATACTCATTAACATATGTTAGAATAATTCGCATGTAAAATTTATCTGTATCACCTAGCAAGGCTTATCATGCATAATTTATTTGTGAAATCGATTGCGATCACTCGGAAAAATTTCTGCCGAAAAGTAACGTAGTACATAGCATTGTGAAACCGAATACATTTTCACATTATTCGTTAAGATTTTTTCCGTACGTACCTTTTTCAACAGTTGAACCAATAACATTCCACGAAAAAATCATATATAGCTTGAAATGTCAGATTTTTTGAATGTGTTCACTCGGAATAAATTCAAAATTCTACATGGGGCTTATCGTTTTATGCATAATTTGTTTGTAAGACAGAGCACAAGGTGCTACACATTACAGGTTCAGAGCCAGTGTCTAAAGACATATAAAAAATTTTAGCTACGTGTTAATTAATATATAACGATGAAAATTCCGAATAACATATATACAAATAGAAAAAAGACAAAATTATACTGAAAAGTGGCATATCTTTAAGCACGGGTGTAAGGTTTGTGACGAATGCAATCACCATTCACACCTATATTGCAAAAATGCAAAAAAGTAGCAGATAGGATATATAAGCGATATGAATGTGATAATTTTAAAAGAGAAGCAAGAAGTGAAAGCTTCATTATTTCATAATAGCTTCGAATCTTTGACTCATCTATTATGTCCTCGAATAATTATATAAAAATAAATCAGAATTAGCGATTTTGGTAGTAATAATTTCGATAGTTTAAGCAGAATTTGTCTTCAGGTATAAGCAATAAAGTTTTTCTCCATTTTTCTATATAACGATAATGATACGTACAGAGATATCTATTAACATGTGAGAATAAATTCCGCATGCGAGTACTTCCGTAATTCCACGTGCAGGACTATGCTTACCTACCGTATGTTACCGAATAGAAGCAACCAAAATGTTGCAAAAAAAATGAGAACTTTTTCGAGCCAAAGTAAAGGGGGTTGCTTTTATTCGAGTATAATTTTATTAATAACCGTAGTCAAATTTTTGGCTCCAAAATCTGGGGGGTTGCTTTTAATCGGTAATATACGGTAATTTGTATCACCGTAAGGGCACTAACTTATATATAAGGTTCAACTTAGCAGGTGAATTTTTCTTCTCCCAAAAGAAAGTTTTGGATTAGTTCAAAGATTATTTAATCACTAAATTTTCACGCCTAAATTCCTGTACAGCAAAGATACCAAGTAAAAACGAAAGACTATTTTCTCCTTTCAAGTTTAAAACATTTACATATAGCACAGTAAATATGTAATCATTTACTCATGCAGTTTTTGGTAAGTTACTAACCAATTTTAATATTATCCGTGGCTGCAGAAAATGACCGATGACAATATAAACGAGTCAAAAAAATGCTCAAGTTCTATAGTAACGATGTGGATGCTTCTTGAAGGGAAGGCAAGTGCCGTAGAAGTCGATATTAATCAGAACAATTATATGACTCATAGTTTCAACTTAGACCGCCTTAAACCTATTCTTCGTGAAAGATTCAAAGTTCTTAAGAATGTTGAACCAGAAGATG